GATGGTGGCCAGGCTTCAGTAGGGGTTACTGCTTCTGGCACTGCTCCTACCGATGCAGACTTACACAGCTCAAACAACTGTTGTAACTTTTAAGTAACTTCTTCCAGAATAACAGCTGCCCCCAAGTCTAGCTAATGCTACCAATAAGGCATTGACAGTGTCCTGCAGTAAACAGCCAGTCTCCTCCCTCACTCCTCATGGTCTCACTCTCTTCCTCTTCTCCGCTGTTAAAAAACTCAGGCCGGACCAGGCAAGATGGCTCACGCCTGTAATTCCAGCACTCTGGGAGGGCGGGGCAGGTGGATCCCCTGAGGTCAGAGTTTAAGACCAACCTCACCAACATGGAGAAACCCCGTCTCTACTAAAAATACAAAACTAGCCAGATATGGTGGTGCATGCCTGTAATCCCAGCTACTGGGGAGGCTGAGGCAGGAGAATCACTTGAACCAGGGCGCTGCAGGCTGCAGTGGGCCAAGATCATGCCACTGCACTCCAGCCTGGTGACAGAGCTAGACTCTGTCTCAAAAAAAAAAAAAAAAGAGTGAAACTCCATCTCAAAAAAAAAAAAAAAAGGCCGGGCACGGTGGCTCACACCTGTAATCCCAGCACTTTGGGAGACCGAGGTGGGCGGATCACAAGGTCAGGAGTTCAAGACTAGCCTGACCAACATGGTGAAATCCCGTCTCTACTAAAGACACAAAAATTAGCCGGGTGTGGTGGCCGCCTGTAATCCCAGCTACTGGGGAGGCTGAGGCAGGAGAATCATTTGAAACCTGGAGGCGGAGATTTCGGTGAGCCGAGATCGTGCCACTGCATTCCAGCCTGGGTGACAGGGCAAGACCCCGTCTCAAAAAAAAAAAAAAACTCAGGCCAAGACAGGTCTACACTTCCCCGTCTTCTAAATTCAACTCAAAGGTCATTTAGAAGACCAGTATGGCAAGGAAAAAACAAGTCTTCATCAAATCTAGTAGATATAGATAAAATAAGATCCAGGCCAGGCGCGGTGACTCACACCTGTAATCCCAGCACTTGGGGAGGCCGAGGCGGGTGAATCACGAGGTCAGGAGATGGAGACCATCCTGGCTAACACGGTGAAACCTCATCTCTACTAAAAATACAAAAAAAAAATTAGCCGGGCATGGTGGCGGGCGCCTGTAGTCCCAGCTACTCAAGAGGCTGAGGCAGGAGAATGGCGTGAACCTGGGAGGTGGAGCTTGCAGTGAGCCGAGATAGCGCCACTGCACTCCAGCCTGGGCGACAGAGCAAGACTCTGTCTCAAAAAATAAATAATTAAATAAGATCCGCATCTTGGCTGTGCATGGGGCTCACGCCTGTAATCCCAGCACTTTGGGAAGCCGAGATGGGCAGATAATGAGGTCAGGAGTTTGAGACCAGCCTGACCAACATGGTGAAACCCCGCCTCTACTAAAACCACAAAAATTAGCTGGGCATGATGGCGGATGCCTGCAGTCCCAACTACTCAGGAGGCTGAGGCAGGAGAATTACTTGAGCCCGGGACAGGGAGGTTGCAGTGAGCCAAGATCACGCCACTACATTCCAGCCTGGGTAACAAAGCGAAACACCATCTCAAAAAAAAAAGATAAGATCCACATCTTATTTTATTGACACAGAAAATGTCAAGAACCCCAAATTTGGTTGGCTTGAAGAACATGTGAAGGGTTTGACTAGATGATGAATGTCAATATTAAATCAGCTGAAGTTTCATATACAAAACGAAGAGGAACAACATTCAAACTTAGTTAAGGCATAATTTCTCTGATGGCCAGGCATGGTGGCTCACGCCTGTAATCCTAGCACTTTGGGAGGCCAAGGTGAGCAGATCGCTTTGAGCCTAGGAATTCAAGACCAGCCTGGGCAACATGGTGAAACCCCATCTCTACAAAAAATGGAAAAATTCGCTAGGCATGGTGGTGTACGTCTGTAGTTCCAGCTACTTGACAGGCTGAAGTGGGAGGGTTGCTTGAGCCTGAGAGGTCAAGGCTGCAGTGAGCTGTGATCATGCCACTGCATTCCAGCCTGGGTAACGGAGTGAAAGTGTCTTGAAATAAAATTTTCCCTTGAATGTGGCTTAAGAAATATGGTCACTTAAAACTCTACTTTGAAAATAAACATAGATTTTATCTTATGTAGAGGTAGAGTGGGAAGTTTTCATTTGGTATAATAAATCTATAAGGCCATAAAACAGGTAATATAAAAAGCTTTCATAATTCAATGTATACATGACATTAGAAGGAACTTCCAGGTGTTACTATGAATCTTCTATGTATAGTTACAGTCAATATACTTTATGTAAGAGATAAATTTAATGCCAATATAATCTAGATAACATTTTACTTTGTTATGTTATCATTGTTCTCTTGGGAAATAATTTTTTTCCTCTGGGGCTCTAGATTTGACATTGAATTTTGTATGTACTAACTGACATGTGCCAGGGCAATGATGGACTGGAATACATCCCCAAATCAAAGCATCACGGTAAATCTTGCTTCTCCTTATAAAGTCAAATGATAGGCATGTCCCATCACCTATTTCTATTCAATAAAAGCACCAGATTCAGTTAGCTAATCTGCTTCCAAAGAGTAGAACTGCATTGAGCTCAACTAATTTCAAAATGCTGACTTTTATTTCCGGATATGTTTCTTTTTTTTTTTTTTTTAAGATGCGATCTTGCTATGTTGCCCAGGCTGGTCTCACATGATCTGCCCACCTCGGCCTCCCAACGTGCTGGGATTACAGGCATGAACCACCACACCTGGCCTATTTCTGCATATGTTAAACACGTTTTATAATTTTAAAAATGAACTGTTTTGAAGGTAAAATTATAAATCTTGAAATTAAAAAAGCAAATGTATAAAGGAGCAAAAACTATAAATCAAGCATTTGAGAAGAGAAAACTGGAGGCTAACTTGTATTAAATTCACAAAAACTTCTATACTTTCTGTAAATATTTTTTTTAAAAACTATAGATCAGAGGCCGGGCACAGTGGCTCATGCCTGTAACCCTAGCACTTTGGGAGGCCGAGGCAGGTGGATCACCTGAGGTCGGGGGTTTGAGACCAGCCTGACCACATGGAGAAACCCCATCTCTACTAAAAATACAAAATTAGCTGGGCGTGGTGGCACATGCCTGTAATCCCAACTATTCGGGAGGTTGAGGCAGGAGAATCGCTTGAACCAGGGAGGCAGAGGTTGCGGTGAGCCGAGATTGCACCATTACACTCCAGCCTGGGCAACAAGAGTGAAACTCCATCTCAAAACAAACAAACAGATAAACAAACACAACTATAGATCAGAATAACCACCTTTAGAACACTTTCGGTTATCAGTCAATAGTTTTAGATAGAAGCTGGTAGTAAGCCTAAAGTGGGCTTGATTCTGCAGTAAACAACTGCCTCAATACATAGAAACCTTTTTTAAAATAGGCACTCTTGTGGGACATGGCAGTTCATGCCTATAATCCCAGTAGTTTGGGAGGCTGAAGTGGGCAGATTGCTTGAGCCCAGGAATTTGAGACCAGCCAGGGCAACATGCCGAAACCCCATCTCTACTAAAAACACAAAAAGTTAGCCGGGCATTGTGGCACAGACCTATAGCCCCAGCTACTCAGGAGGCTGAGGTGGGAGAATCACCCAAGCCCAGGAGGTAGAGGCTGCAGTGAGCTGTGATTGCACCACTGCACTCTAGCCTGGGCAACAGAGTGAGACCCTGTCTCAAAATAATAATAATAATAATAGGCACTCTTTGAAGTTTTTTGTTTGCACAGTCACACACTGATGCTTAGATGTTCCAGTATATAACATAACCATGGTAGGCTGCGAGCAGTGGCTCATACCTGCAATCCCAACACTTTAGAACGCTGAGGCAGGAGGATCACTTGAGCCCAGGAGTTTGAGACCAGCCTGGCCAACATGGCAAAACGCCATGTCTAAGAAAATATATTTTTTAACTTTTTAAACAATATAAAAAATAAGAATCACATAAATAGATTCTTCCAATTCCGAAAAGAGCCACAAAGCTTTATAAATTGTACAGGGGCATGAACCGGTGAGGTATTATAATTGCCTGGCACATAGTAGGCACTCAATACATTTGCAAACTCCACACACACCCTACTCTATTTTGCTTTTTCTCTATCTGCATTAACATGCTATGTAACACATAACTATATATTAACATTTTACAAACTTTTTCTTTTTTTTGTTTTTCTTTTTCTTTTTTTTTTTTTTTTTTTTTTGAGATGGAGTTTCGCTCTTGTTGCCCAGGCTGGAGTGCAATGGTTCGATCTTGGCTCACTGCAACCTCCGCCTCCCGGGTTCAAGCGATTCTCCTGCCTCAGCCTCCCGAGTAACTGGGATTATAGGTGCGCGCCACCACGCCCGGCTAATTGTTTGTATTTTTAGTAGAGACGGGGTTTTACCATATTGGCCAGGCTAGTCTCGAACTCCTGACGTCAGGTGATCCACCCGCCTCAGCCTCCTAGAGTGCTGGGATTACAGGCGTGAGTCACCGTTCCCGGCCCATTTTACAGCCTTTTATTTTGTTCAGTTTCTTTATAGTCTTCCCAACGTCCCCCGACACACACTGCACTAAAATGCAAGCTTCATGAAGGCAAGGACGAACTTTTGCCTGTATTGTTCTCCTCAGTGTCCCTAGAGCCTAGGACAGGCGTTGGCATATTAAGGGACACTCAATAAATATTTAAGGAGTGAATAAACAACTGAATACCCGATAAATGCATGTATGAATAAACACATTCTTAGTTATTCGGAATATGAAGATTTGCGGAGAGTGGACAGCCTGGGATTGAGGAGACCGGCTGGGACTGGGAAATGGGCATTGGGGCCCACCGCAGTGGTCCAGAGCCCCTGTCTGGGCCACTAACAAGTTGCTTAGCAACTCGTCGCCTGGCCCTCGGCCACCACTAGAGGGCGAGCGGGCGGGGAGACGTGCACGCGCGCGCGCGTGCGTGCAAGCGTGTGTGCACGCGTGCGCGGCGCGGGCTTGGGAGGGAGCACGTCACTTCCTGTTGCCTTAGGGGAACGTGGCTTTCCCTGCAGAGCCGGTGTGTCCGTCAGCGTCCCTGCTGCATCAACCGGAGCTGGAGTCGGATCCCGAACGCACCCTCGCCATGGACTCGGCCCTCAGCGACCCGCATAACGGCAGCGCCGAGGCAGACGGCCCCACCAACAGCACGACGCGGCCGCCTTCCACTCCCGAGGGCATCGCGCTGGCCTACGGCAGCCTCCTGCTCATGGCGCTGCTGCCCATCTTCTTCGGCGCCCTGCGCTCCGTACGCTGCGCCCGCGGCAAGGTAGGGTCAGCGGGAAAACCGGGCACTTTCCACCCCCATACCGAACACGGCCGACATGGGCCCTTCCTAGGCGGGACAGACACCTCCTCTCCCCCGACACTGAATCTTCCCAGCCCTAATCATCGCCGTTCCCTCTATCTCGGGCCCACATTCCGGGGCTGGCATTTCCTGCCCCGGGATCTGGGCACCGACCCCCGACCAGAGTATGACACCTTCCCCAATAGGAACTTGCTTCTGCTCCTGACTCGGACCCTGACACTTCCCTCCCTGTGCATCATGCCACGGCTGGGAACGCTGTCAGCCGGTCCCCCACTGCGACTCGGGCACTGATTGTTCTGAGCCTGTTGGGCCCAGGCAGACCAGCCCCATCTATACCTGATGGATACTAGTCCTCACAACTTACTGAATGGTAGAATTTCCTGTCATCCCCGGTTAGGAACTCTGCCTCGGCCCACCCCAGGGCCCTTTCTACCATTCAGACCCATCCCTAGAGTCTGACTCCTGTCTCACTGGAACCTATGGCACCTTATGTGCACTTAGTGCCCCCACACCTGGCCCTTGCCCCTGCCTCTAAAACAACGCTCTCTCAGTCCCTAGTTTTTCACATCACTTTCTGGAACCATCCCAGTCAGCTAGCTCCTCAGAATCTGGCATCTTGATGCCTCTACTTTCCAACCAGGCATGGACTTCTTATTTTCCTGGTTTCCTCTCTCTACCTACCATCCAACCTTGGACATGGCCTAGTCAAAACCCAGACCTTGTTCCTAACCTGTAACCCTTTTCCTACCCAGCCTTTGACCCTACCTTAATATAGCTTTTCTCCCCATGCCTCCAAGACAATCCCCCCACCAAACTGGGCCTGCCTGCTGGGCCACTGTTGGCCCCTCTTGTGAGACTGGGCCAGACTCCATCCCTGGCCTTCCTCAACATCTGTCCCATTGGATACCTAGGAGGACTCCAGCACATTTCACCTTCTGCTTCCCCCTCCCCCTTCCCTGCCCCACTTCTTCCCTATATTAAGCCCTCTCTAGCCCATTGTACCAATGGCTTCTCACTTCCTGGCATCCTCTCCCTTCCTCCACAACCTCTTAATCTGCACCTCCCAGATGCTCCTCCCCCACCCAGACCTGAAGATGGACCTAAGTAGAAACTGTCTTGCCCAAAGAGGGCAGGCCCACAAAGCAGCTGCCACTTTTGAAACTGCTGAAGCTGAGGTTCTCAAAACACTACCCAACTTGAGCAGTAGCTGAGGCCTGCCACCTTCCTTCCCCAAAAGCAGAGAACTCACTGCTGGCTCTGTATGTGATCAGATGCAAAGGAAAGTAGTTAGGTAGGGCTTAGGCTGAGACTCAAACATGACTCCATTTTCCTTTTTATTTGGCTTTTTCTAAGCAGAGTTCAGGTGATATTAAGCCTCTCTACTATGCCTGTCGGGTAGACACTTAGTGTAGAGAGAAGTTCTGAGATAAACCAGGACAGAGGAGGTGAAGGACAGCTGGCATAAGGCTGGGCAGCTTGATCTGAGCTGCTCTCCAAACTGAGTAATTTTCCCTGGCACCTCCGGTAGGTGGATCACTCATCTCTGCAGAAAACACCTTCCAGGCATCAGTATTTCCTCACCTTCCACCACTGTCGGGGGTAAGGGAGGATTGCTGCAAAGACGAGTAGGTCGGAGCCCTGTCACCAAGGAATTCGGGAGCCTGGGTGAAAGAATAATAACTAGATCTGTGATTATAATACAAACAATGCTACAAGAGTTAGGGAGAAAGATGGAGCACATCTGGGGCAGTGCAGGGAGGCCTTGTGCTAGAGGCAGGCCTGAGCCTTGGCACAGAGATAGAATTTCAGCCAGGAGAAGGCATTCTAAGCAGAAGAAACCAGGTAAGCAGAGAGAGGCATGGAGGCAGGAGGCTACGAGGCAGTTCAGGAAATAGTGGAAGGTATGGTGTGGCTGGAACAGAGGGTATGGATAGGAGAAAGCCTTAGCCTCTGAATACCTCTCCCAAGCATCTCCTGCAGGGCAGCAGCGTGTGGAGGGCTGTATGAATTTACAAACAGGACCTGACCATTAAGAGCCTGCCACCACCAGTGACCCAGATGCTGTAAAACTTGCAAAACCTTTATTCCCTTTGATGCTCACAGCAACTGAGGTGGCAGGCAGAGCCAGTTTCATTATCCTCGTTGTACAGAAAAAGAAACTGAGAGTCAAAGAAATGACTTCTGAAGATCACTCTGCCATTTAGGGGCAGAAACAGGTATGCCTAGTCCTAGTCCAGGGCTCTCTCCTAATACAGGCACCTTTAAAGACAAGCAGCATTGACCTAAGGAAAGGACAGGCCAAATGACTTCCTTTCCACCCTGAGTCGTTTCCCTGGTCATGTGAAAAGGAGAGAGAAGAGTTAGTGTGGGGACCCAGTTTTGATTTCCCACCAGTGTTAGACCCCAAAACCAGTTAGGAGAGAGGGAATGTGAGGACAGAATTCTCCCCAGGGGTCAAGGTGTCCATAACAGGCAGGGAAAATTGTGAAATCATGGAGAGAAGAAGGTAGAGCCTCCAGGAGTATGTTGTGAAGAAGTAGCCTTGGGAGGAGCAGTCTCAGAGCAGCACGCATCACTGTCAGAGGCCCAAATCCCAGACAGAAGCGAATCTGGCCCAGGCAGTAGCTGCACATTGGTTTAGTAGCTGCACAGTAAACATTGGTTTAAAGGGCCCTCAGTGAACAGGACTGGGTGCCCGCTCTGGGCCAGGCTCTGGGCTGGGTACCAGGAGTTCCGGGGCAAAGAAGGCCAAGCCCTGCCCTCACTGAGCCCAGTCACCGAGGAGAAACAAGACATGTGACTAGCCAAGTAAATAGAGTTCTCATAGGCCTCCTGGAGTGGGCAGCAGTTGTCTTTGCATGGATGGGAAGAGTCCAACAGGCAGAACAGGAGAAGGTGGGGTGGGGGACCACAAGATGTATTCAGGGAGGCAGTGAGGAGTATGGTGTGAGCCCAGGAGAGGGACTTGGATGTAGTGACAAGATGTTCAGGAAGCCTGTGGCCTTTCTGGGGAAGAGAATCCTGAAAGCAACACAGCGGTTAATCATTATTGTTACAAAAATACTATACACTTGTTTAAAAAAAAAAATCAAGCAGTGCAGAAGTATAAAGGAAAAGCCTCCTGGGCACTATTCCTTGAAAGCAACCCAATTGGCTGTTGGGTATATAACCTTCAAGAATTTTTTCTATGTATACACAAACATTGTATATGTGTCTGTGTATATAGACGTATGTAAATTTATTTTTATAAAAATTGGATTATATAATACATATTTCCCTGCAACCTGATTTTTTTTTTTTTTTTGGACGGAGTTTCGCTGTTGTTGCCCAGGCTGGAGTGCAATGGCGTGATCTTGGCTCATTGCAACCTCCTCCTCCCAGGTTCAAACGATTCTCCTGCCTCAGCCTCCCGAGTAGCTGGGATTACAGGTATGCACCACCACGCCTGGCTAATTTTGTATTTTTAGTAGAGACAGGATTTCTCCATGTTGGTCAGGCTGGTCTCGAACTCCCGACCTCAGGTGATCTACCCTCCTTGGCCTCCCAAAGTGCTGGGATTACAGGCATGAGCCACTGCACCCAGCAATTTTGTTTCTTTAACAATATGTTGGCCAGGCACAGTGGCTCATGCCTGTAATCCCAGCACTTTGGGAGGCTGAGGCAGGTGGATCACTTGAAGTCAGAAGTTCAAGACCAGCCTGACCAACATGGTGAAGCCCTGTCTCCACTAAAAATACAAAAATTAGCTTTGCGTGGTGGGGCACGCCTGTAATCCCAGCTACTCAGGAGGCTGAGGCACGAGGGGGTCTCGCTCTGTCACCCAGGCTGGAGTGCAATGGCACAATCTCAGCTCACTGCACCCTTCACCTCCTGGGTTCAAGCAGTTTGTCCGTCCGCCTCAGCCTCCCGAGTATCTGGGATTAAAGGCACCTGCCATCATGCCCGGCTAATTTTTGTATTTTTGCAGAGATGGGGCTTCACCAGGTTGGCCAGGCTGGTCCTGAACTCCTGACCTCAGGTGATCCACCCGCCTCGGCCTCCCAAAGTGCTGGGATTACAGGTGTGAGCCACCACACCCAGCCAGTACACTCTTCTTTGCACCTTGCTTTTTTCACCTAATATGTGTTACAGAGCCAATCATGCCAGTACATAGGGTGTGGGTGTGTTCTTTAACAGATGTATGGTGTCCCACCTGTACCCCAGTTTGCTTAGCATGCTGGTTCTCTAGTATCTGGTCCCTGGGCCAGCAGTGTCAGCATCACCCCAGAACTTGTTAGAAATGCACATTCTGAATCAGAAGCTCAAGGTGGGCCTAGCAATGTGTGTTTTAGTAAGCCCACCTGGTGATTCTGATGCATGCTCAAATTTGAGAATTTGAGTCCTGTCCCCTACTGGTCATTTAGGTGGTTTCAGTCTTTTGCTATTACAAACCATGCTGAAATTAATATCTTTACACATTTTTATTTCACACTTGTCTGTGTATTTGTAGGATAAATTTCTCAAAATTGGTGGGTTGAAGGCTATGCACACTTTTTTTTTTTTTTCTTTTTTTTTTTTTTTTTTTTGAGATAGTCTCACTCTGTCGCCCAGGCTGGAATGTGAGTGCGGTGGCACCATCTCAGCTCACTGCAACCTCTGCCTCCTGGGTTCAAGCAATTCTCCCACCTCAGCTTCTCGAGTAGCTGGGATTACAGGCGCGCACCCACCACACCCAGCTAATTTTCATATTTTTAGTACAGGTGGGGTTTTACCATGTTGGCCAGGCTGGTCTCAAACTCCTGACCTCAGGTGATCTGCCAGCCTCGGCCTCCTGAAGTGCTGGGATTACAGGCGTGAGCCACTGTGCCCAGCCCACACTTTTTATTTAGATAGATTTTACCATATGGTCCACTACAGAGGTTGTATCAGTTTACTTTCCCACAGCAATGACCTCAATTCTTGTTTAATGACTGTGGAGTAGTCTGTTCTCTAGAGGTTTTTGTTTTTTGTTTTTTGTCTTTTTGAGACAGAGTCTCACTCTTTGGCCAGGCTGGAGTGCAGTGGTGTGATCTTGGCTCATTGCAACCTCCGCCTTCCGGGTACAAACAATTCTTGTGCCTCAGCCTCCCAAGTAGCTGGAATTACAGGCGCGTGCCACTACACCCAGCTAATTTTTATATTTTTAGTAGTGACAGGGTTTCACCATGTTGGCCAGGCTGGTCTCAAACTCTTGACCTCAAGTGATCCGCCCGCCTGGGCCTCCCATAGTGCTGGGATTGCAGGCATTAGCCACCGTGCCTGGCCTCTCCAGAGGTTTGTAAGCAGGTACATTATACAATCAGGTATGGGCTTTAGAAAGAGCACATGGCAGGGTGGGTGATAGGCAGGAGGGAAAAGTGTAATGTTGGTGCAGGGGTTGTGAAGACAGCAATGGGGGTCAAAGGATTGGGGTAGGAAGTTAGGTCAAGAAAGGTAACCTTGGAGAGCTGAGTGACTGGATGTTGTGGTAAGGAGTGGAGACCCGGGAGTCTCCAGCTGGGGCAACAGTAACAGAATGGCCCATGAATTCCGGATCATTTCCAGGGCCTGGCATAGACGCAGTACTCCAAGAGCTTGAGCCGTGCCACTGGCTTGAAGCAGGCATCTGTCCTCTCTTACAGCTTTTGTTTCCGCTCTGATAACAACATGCGGAATGTCACTGGAAGCTACATTTACTTCTGCTGTTTGTGTCAGGTTTTTCCCCCACTCTCTAATTGTGTTTCGTGTTGCAGGAGCTATTGTATTTACATATGCACATCTGGTTAAAAAATCCCAATTGGATTGATAAAGAATCCTAACAACTTTTTAGTATTTTTGTAACTACAAAGATTAACTGTTCAGTTACCTTCAGGATTCTGTTCCTCAGAAAGGTTGCAGGCTTCCCAAGTATCTTCCTGTTACAACTTTCCAACAGAAATTTCCGGATAAGAAAGATAGAGGTCTTCTAGGAAACAGCTGCCAAGAGTTTAGGGTCTGGAACTGGACTGCCTCAGTTTGAATCCTAGCTCTGGCACTCACCAGCTGTGTGACACTAAGCAAGTTACTTCACCTCTCTAGGCCTCTGCTTCCTCATCTGTAAAAGAACTATTAAAAGTACCTTTCCGGATGGCTGCAGTAGCTCACACCTGTAATCCCAGCACTTTAGGAGTCCGAGGCAAGCGGATCATGAGGTCAGGAGATCGAGACCATCCTGGCTAACAAGGTGAAACCCCGTCTCTACTAAAAATACAAAAAATTAGCTGGGCGTGGAGGCACATGCCTGTAGTCCCAGCTACTCGGAAGGCTGAGACAGGAGAATTGCTTGAACCCAGGAGGCAGAAGTTGCAGTGAGCCGAGATTGCGCCACTGCATTCCAGCCTGGGCAACAGAGCGAGACTGTCTCAAAAAAAAAAAAAAAAGCAAAAGCAGAAGCCAAGGGTTGGGAGAGAATAGAGAAGGAAGGAAACCGGGCCTCTCATGTGGGTATTGCTCACCCACCCCGTTCCCACCTCCTGGCAAAGCCATCCAAGTGACTCACATGTAGCTGCCTCCAGTGGCTCCAGAGGGGATAGTCTACCTTCCAGCCCAGTGCCTGGGCTGCCTCAGCCATGCATAGGCAAGGGTGTGGTTAGGGGCCTCCTCACTCACCTCTCCCTGATAGTCACAACCCCCAATACAAGCACAGTACTTTACAGTTTGCCAGGCTGTTTCGCATCCCATATCTCATTTGGTTTAAGACTCTTATGGGACTGGGTGTGGTGGGTCACACCTATAATCTCAGCATTTTGGGAGGCCAAGGCAGGAGGATCACTTGATGCCAGGAGTTCAAGGCTACAGTGAGCTATGCACTCCAGCTTGGGCAATAGAGCAAGACCCTGTCGCTTATTTTCTTTTTTTTTTTTTTTTTTTAAAAAGCCTTCTTTTAAAAAAAGAAGGCTTTTAGACCTTTTTTGAAGTGAGGCTAGAGATTGTCCTCCTGTTTGACAGAGAAGTAAACACAGTCACTCAGCATGCCATTAACAGAGCAAGGAATACCTTGGATACACTTTATGTGTAGCATTTTACTTATGTATGAACTATATCTGTAGGGAGAATTCCCACAGGTGGAATTGCTTGGTCAAAGGGTATGTGCATTTGTGATTTTTTATGTATTGCCTAGTTGCTTTCTACAGGAAGACAGATGGACTCCCATAGGCAGTGTGGGAGACTACCTCTTTCCCCCATAGCCCCACCGACTCAGTATGTTACCCAGTGTGTAGATTCTTACCTTTCTGATAGACAAAAAACAGAATCTCAGTGTGCTTAGTTTGAGCTCGTTAAGAGTGAGAATAAACACTCTTTTTTTACTATTAAGAGCCATTTGTAGTTCTTGTTCTGTGGCTCTTCTTTTTGTATCTTTGGGCATGTGGAAATTTCAATTTAATGCATCCTGCCAAATTGCCCTCCCCAAAAGGCTGGACAGGTTTATACTCTAGGCCAGTGCTGTCTCTGTACTTCCTTTAGCCGGGCACAGTGGCAAATGCCTGTAATCCCAGCTACTTGGGAGGCTGAGGCATGAGGATTACTTAAGCCCAGGATTTCGAATCTAGCCCACACCTCCTTCTCCTAGTAGTCATTTTGTGGCCTTACTGCCCTTTGCCCCATCTCCTTCCCTCTTTGCAACCTTCCACCTGGGACACTAGGGCCTCTCTGAGCCAGCCTTACCTTCTCCAGACACCCTCTCTCTTAGCAGATTTTTTATTGTTGGTTTTTGTGAGCCAAAATATTTGTGAGTCTCCGTAACTGAATGTGATCCCGTCTTCTAGGGATGCTGGTGTTTTACTCGCAGGATGGACATGGTGATGGTAGAATCTCAGGCACTGTAATGAGTCTGTGGCTACTATGGAAAGGACTTCGGCATGAGCAGAAGTCTAATCTGGCATTGTTAGGACTTTCGGTAGCCATGATATAAAACAGTTGCAGAGTAGGCTTGTCCCAGTGGGAAAATCTGGAAGGGCTTCATGGCAGTGACATTTACTAGGCCCTTGAGGACTGTGAGGATTTTGCCTAGCAGAGAGAGGGCAGGTAGAGAGCACTGTGATCCTGAAAGCTTTTGACCCTGTTTGGAATACAAATTTATACCAAAAAAAAAAAAGAAAAGAAAGAAAATAAATTTATACCAGTACTATATTATCATTGATAAATTTTCATTAGAAACTTCTGGCTGGGTACAATGGCTCACGCCTGTAGTCCAGCACTTTGTGAGGCTAAGGCCAAGAGTTTGAGACCAGCCTGGCCAGCATGGCGAAACCCCCCCTCTACAAAAAATAACAAAAATTAGCCAGGTATGGTGGCATGTACCTGTGTCCCAACTACTCAAGAGGCTGAGGCAGGAGAATTGATTGAATCAGGAAGCAGAGGTTGCAGTGAGTCAAGATTGTGCCACTGCACTCTAGCCTAGGTGACAGAGTGAAACTCTCTCTCAAAAAAAAAAGAAAGTTCTTCACCATAAATTCTTTCCCCCCCGCCCGCCCCGAGACAGAGTCTCACTCTGTCGCCCAGGCTGGAATGCAGTGGTATGATCTTGGCTCACTGCAACCTCTGCCTCCTGGGTTCAAGTGATTCTTCTGCCTCAGCCTCCCATAGCTGGGATTACAGGCGTGTGCCAGCACACCCGGCTAATTTTTGTATTTTTAGTAGAGACGGGGTTTCACCATGTTGGCCAAAGCTGGTCTTGAACTCCTGACCTCGTAATCCACCCACCTCGGCCTCCCAAAGTGCTGGGACTACAGGCGTGAGCCACTGTGCCCAGCCTTCTTTGTCATAAATTCTATGAAGCTAATTTATTCCTACGTTGGTCTGTTACTCCATTTTTAATTCTTTTCATTTTTATAACACTGAGATTGTTTTTATTGCATTTAGTTCTTTTTCATGTAAATGTTTATCCTTCATCAGTTCTTTACCCACATCACATTCTTGCCAACTGTAGCATCTGCCATTATAAATTTAATTGTGGCTTTTATTTTTACCATTTTCAAGTCTGCCAGTCAAATTTCTTAAATTTAAGTTTTGTCAAGATTTGCTTCTCCTCACAGTTGGTGTCTCCCTATGTGCAGTTTCAGCCATTGTCTGTCTTGTTTGTTGTTAATTTCAACTCATAATATTAATTACCTACTGGATGACAGAATAGTCATTTTTCCCTCTTAGCTGATCCATTAGAAAATTGAAAACAATTCTCTTCGAGAGGTCTGAAACTGCTGTGGCATCACTCGTGTCCAAGTTTTCTTCTTTCAGTTATTCCGTACTGGAATGGCCTCTGTCATAGCCCCTCTCCCCAGATGTGTCACACTTGCCCTGGGTTCTCCTTGGTCTCTTGATCAGGGTCCAGATCTCCTTATGGCAGAATGGCAGGATCGGCCAGTCGTGGTGGCTCACACCTGTAATCCCAGCACTTTGGGAGGCCAAGGCAGGTGGATCACTTGAGGTCAGTTCAAGACCTGCCTAACCAACATGATGAAACTCCATCTCTACTAAAAATACAAAAATTAGCTGTGCATGGTGGCACATGCCTATAGTCCCAGCTACTCGGGAGGCTGAGGCAGGAGAATCACTTGAACCCAGGAGGCGGAGGCTGCAGTGAGCCAAGATTGTACCACTTCATTCCAGCCTGGGTGATAGAACAAGACTCCGTCTCAAAAAAAAAAAAAAAAAGTGGCAGATCAGAGCATCCTGCCCCAGGATGAGGCAGGCAGCATCCCTAGCCCAGGGAACAGCATTTGCAGAGCCTTGCAGGAACACATGGGAACCAGCCGTGCTGAGCTATTGCCATTCTTCTCTCCTCTAGAATGCTTCGGACATGCCTGAAACGATCACCAGCCGGGATGCCGCCCGCTTCCCCATCATCGCCAGCTGCACACTCTTGGGGCTCTACCTCTTTTTCAAAGTAAGTCTTTTGCCACCTGTTGTGTCATTTGATCTAAATGATTTTATCTTATTTTATTTTATTTTTCCCATCACAAGAGCCATGCATGTTCATTTATAGAAAATAAAGGAGAGAGAAAAATTAATAATTCACCCATAGACCTACCCAAAGACAACAACTGTTAGTGTTTGGGGCCCTTTCTCACTAGTCTGTATTTCTTTTCTCCATGTAGCTTTTTGTTTTGTTTGTGTGATATCAGTTTGGTTTCATTGTGCTGTTTATGTTGGGATGGGGTATAGCTTGTGCCCAGACATACCTCTACCATACTAATGGCCTTTTTTTTTTTTTTTTTTAATTTATCGAGGTTTATTTTCCCAATAAAAGTTACACAGGCTCAGTGTTGAAAACCTGGAAAACACAGAAAAGTAAAAAGGGAAAAACAGCAGTCATCCAAAACCCCACTACCAGAGACAGTCACAGTTGCCCTTCGGAGGTGTGTCCTTCCACTGTTTCTCCCTGTGCATGGTTTCTCCGTAGCTGTGACCACATGGTGTATTCAGTTTGTAGCTGCTTTTTTCACTTCACATTAATAACATCATAAACATTTTGTCATGTTACTGCAAACTCTCTTTAGTTGTACTATTTTCTGGATTATAAAAGTAATATATTCAGAAAAACTAAAGAAAGTATATCAATAGAGGAAAAAATAAATTCCACAACACAGAAGTAGTCATTAAAAATTTGACGTATCTCCTTTTGGGCTTTTTATTTATTTATTTTAGGACAGGGTCTCACTCTGTCCCCCAGGCTGGAGTGTAATGGCGCCATCACAGTTTACTGCAGCCTCAACCTCTTAGGCTCAAGAGATCCTCCTGCCTCAGCCTCCCAAGTAGCTGGGACTACAGGCACGCGCCACCACACCCGGCTAATTTTTTCTTTTTTGAGACAGAGTCTTGCTCTGTCGCCCAGGCTAGAGTGCAGTGGCACAATCTCGGCTCACTACCACATCCACCTCCCGGGTTCAAGTGATTCTCCTGCCTCAGCCGGCTGAGTAGCTGGGAGTAGACACACACCACCACACCCAGCTAATTTTTGTATTTTTAGTAGAGACAGGGTTTCATCATGTTGGTCAGGCTGGTCTTGAACTCCTGACCTCATGATCTGCCCGCCTCGGCCTTCCAAAGTGCTGGGATTATAGTAAGTGTGAGCCACTGCACCCAGCCAATTTTTTCTTTTACTAGAAATAAGATTTCGCTTTGTTGCCCAGTCTGGTCTCAAACTCCTGGGCTCAAGTAATCCTCCCACTTCTGCCTCCCAAAGTGCTGGGATTACAGGCATAAGCCACTGCATCCATCCACTGGATCTAACCCCCATCCCCCACGGATGGATGGGGGACTCCAGCCTAGGGGACAGTACGCCTTTTAAAAAGCATATGTTTAGCTTTTTTTTTTTTTTTTTTTTTGAAATGGAGTCTCACTCTGTTGCCAGGCTGGGGTGCAGTGGCACAATCTCGGCTCACTGCAACCTCCCCCTCCCAGGTTCAAGTGATTCTCCTGCCTCAGCCTCCTTAGTAGCTGGGACTACAGGTACATGCCACCATGCCCAGCTAATTTTTGTATTTTTTAGTAGAGATGGGGTTTCACCATGTTGGCCAGGATGGTCTCGATCTCTTGACCTTGTGATCCACCCACCTTGGCCTCCCTAAGTGCTGGGATTACAGGCGTGAGCCACCGTGCCCGGCCTGTTTAGCATTATTATAATCATAACTGTAGTGTTAGATCTTCTTTTTATTGTTTATGTTAGGTTTTTCTTTGTTGATTGGTTTTTTTAGAGACAGGGTCTCACTGTTGCGCAGCCTGGAGTTCTCTGGCACAATCATGGCTCACTGCAACCTCAACTCCTGGACTCAAGTGGAAAAAACTGGCTGATTTTATTTTATTTATTTATTTTTTTTTAGAGACAGGGTTTCACTATGTTGCCCAGGCTGGTTACCAATTCCTTGGCCTGCTAAAGCACTAAGATTACAGATGTAAGCCACCATGCCAGGCCCTTGTTTTGTTTATTTTGTTTTATTTTTGAGAAAGGGTCTTGCTCTGTCATCCAGGCTGGAGTGCAGTGGTGCAATCATGGCTCACTGCAGCCTCGACCTCCTGGGCTCAAGTGATCCTCCCACCTCTGCCTCCAGAGTAGCTGGGACTACAAGGCGTGCACCACTACGCCTAGCTAATTTTCGTGTTTTTAGTGGAGATGGGGTTTTGCATGTTGCCCAGGCTGGTCTCGAACTCCTGGGCTCAAGCTATCCACCTGCCTTGGCCTTGTAAAGTGCTGGTATTACAGGCATGAGCCACCACACCTGGCCCCTTCTTGTTCTTTTAATAGTACATCAACTTTTTTCCTGGTCATTGAAAATTCCTCAAGGATGACTTTAATTTACATCTTAAAATGTAGGCTGGGCACAGTGGCCCATACCTGTAATCCCAGCACTTTGGGAAGCCGAAGTGGGTGGTCAGGAATTCATCTGAGGTCAGGAATTCGAGACGAGCCTAGCCAACACGGTGAAACCCCATCTCTACAAAAACTACAAAAAATCCATCCTGGCCAACATGGTGAAACCCAGTCTCTACTAAAAATAACAAAAATTAGCTGGGCATGGTGGCATGTGCCTATAGTCCCAGCTACTTGGGAGGCTGAGGCAGGAGAATCACTTGAACCCAGGAGGCAGAGGTTGCAGTGAGCTAAGATCACACCACTGCACTCCAGCCTGGCGACAGAGCAAGACTCTGTCTCAATTAAAAACAAAAAAAGGCTCAATTTAAAAAAAAAAATACATGTAGGCCTGGTGCAGTGGCTCACCTGTTATCCCAGCACTTTGGGAGGCTAAGGTGGGAGGATCACTTGAGCTCAGGAGTTACAGACCAGTGTGGGCAACACAGTGAGCCCCCATCTCATTCATAAGTAAATAAATAAACCAATTCATCAATAATGTACATCATTTAAAAAATTTGTTGCCAGCCTAGGCAACAGAGCAAGACTTCGTCTCAAAATTTTAAAAAATTTTTTTTCAACCTAAAGTACAAATGAACCATAATCCTCTCCCTAGTAGTTTCCTGTGATTCTGTCATGCATAGAATCTATACTTATGTTAAATTATATATATTTATATATGTATCAAATACATGATTCTTACCACAGAGGTATTTTTATATCAACCAAGTCATACCCCATTTTTTTTTTTTTTTTTTTTTTTTTTTTTTTTTTTTTGAGATAGAGTCTCGCTCTGTCACCAGGCTGGAGTGCAATGGAGCGATCTCAGCTCAGTGCAACCTCCGCCTCTGTGGTTCAAGCGATTCTTCTGCCTCAGCCTCCCGAGTAGCTGGGACTACAGGTGTGTGCCACCATGCCCAGCTGATTTTTGTATTTTTAGTAGAGATGGGGTTTCACCATGTTGGCCAGGATGGTCTTGATCTCTTGACCTTGTGATCCGCCCGCCTCGGCCTCCCAAAGTGCTGGGATTACAGGCATGAGCCACCATGCCCAGCCTCTCTCATTCTTTTTAACAGCTGTTCATGGTTCTGTTTTACAGTGTACCCTGAGGGTGTTTAAGATCTGACCCATGTTGGGGGTATCATAGCAGTATTGTCGTGAACACTTCATACACCTAATTTGTGCACTTATTTTCTTCAAGTTTATCTGCAGTAGGTCTACCAGGTCCAATGCATCTCCATTTGTAATTAGATAGTGCCAAATCACCCTCCAAAAAGATTGTATCATTTTACATTCCCACTGACAGTTACAAGCGTGCTGGCCTACCCAGGCGCTCACCTGCATTGGATAGCACCAAAATTTTTAGTTTTTTTCCAGTCTGTGAGTGAATAAAAAAACTTTTTTTTTTTTTTTTTGAGATGGAGTCTCACTCTGTTGCCCAGGCTGGGGTGCAGTGGCACATTCTCGGCTCACTGCAACCTCCACCTCCCAGGTTCAAACAATTCTCCTGCCTCAGCCTCCCAAGTAGCTAGGATTACAGGTGCGTGCCACCATGCCTGGCTAATTTTTGTATTTTTAGTAGAGACAGGGTTTCACCTTGCTATAATCCTGGCCTCAGGTAATCCACCTGCCTTGGCCTCCCAGAGTGCTGGGATTACAGGTGTGAGCCACTGCGCCTGGCCAAAAACATAATTTTTTAACACCTATTTCCTATTTCATAGCTCCCTCATTTTGGATCAAATTTTTTTTTTTTTTTTTTTTTTAGAGATGAGTTCTTGCTCTGTTGCCCAGGCTGGAGTGCAGTCACATAATCATAGCTTACTGAAGCCTTGTTCTCCCAGGCTCAGGTGATCCTCCCGTCTCAGCCTCCTGAGTATTTGGGACTATAGACGTATATCATTACACCCAGCTATAAATCCTCTTTTTTTGTTGTTTTTTGTTGTTGTTGTTTTGTTTTCTTTTGTTTTTTGAGACAGAGTCGCTCTCTATCACCCAGGCTGGAGTGCAGTGGCATGATCTCGGCTCACTGCAATCTCTGCCTCCCAGGTTCAAGCGATTCTCCTGCCTCAGCCTCCTGAGAAATGCTCTTTTTAATGGTTACAGGGTGTCCCCACAAGCAACCAGCCTGGGCAACATAGCAAAACCGCATCTCTACAAAACATTTAAAAATTAGCCAGACATGGTAGTGCAGGGTTATATTCCCAGCTACTCAGGAGGTTGAGGCTGAAGGATGACTTGAGCCCAGGAGTTCAAGGCTGTGGTGAGCTATGATCATGCCGCTGCACTCCAGCCTGGACACGAATGTTACCCTGACAATAAAAGAAAAATATCCCTATAAGCAGATACAGCACAGTTGACTTAAAGCATCCCCCTCACTTTAAACAGAAAATGTCATTCTGATTTTTACTCTAAGAAATAAGAGTGCACTAAATAACATTGACTGTTCACAGATTTATTTTTCTTTTTTCCTGGACCTCAGGTAAGGAGCTGAATTTAGGCCAGGCACAGTGGCTCACTCCTGTAATCCCAGCACTTTG